GTGGAGGCGTAGTGGTACATACTATATATGGTATATGGGTGGATAAATAATGGTTCGTGGGCGCTTGAGACTTGTGGCGCGGAAAAACCGTGACATACATAGAGCAGTTCTGATTGGTCGGACGCCCTCGGGGACGTGACGACTACCACGCCACATGCGCATCTCCTGCTACAGTTGCCTGCTCCAGCTTGAATAATCCTTGATCACTATGAATGCATCAGTTTTGATACATATACCCCCCAGCAACGAAAGAGGAAGAAGACATTCCCTTCGTGTCGTCAAGTATGCGCGCACCACTGGCAGTGATCCGCCTCACCGGCTGTTCTCACATCACGCGTACACTCTCGCTTATTCCTCTTTCCTTACGAAATGTAGCACTATCATGGTCGCTTTCCATTAATTTTCTGCTTGGTCGCTCGTGGAAGGCTCAGTCACCCAATTGCCAATGCTAAACCCCATGGTCAATCATTCTACGATTTTTGGGCCTGTCTCGTGAACGACCGGAATAACGAGAACATATCAAACCATCACCACGGGAAGAGAGTAGAACAAGGTATTCTTATATGGGTGCTGCATGAACGTGTTGAGCAATGCAATTGTTCCATCTTTGCGTGTGAGGTGAGTCCCATGTTAGATCTTACCTCAGAATGTGTTCTGTCCGCTGCTCAGTGCGAAATCTTGGTTACCAACTGAAGCATCGCTTGTTATACCACGTGTCTTTCGCTAGCTCCGTCGTTACTCTCAGTAGCATGATTGATCAGACGCTCTTTCCTTTGCTTTGAGCTCTACGTTATGAAAATATGATAGCCAAGAAGTCCGGGACGTTGAATTGGTGATTGAAACCGGTTCTTTGGGGGTATGTGCACAGGTGGCTCTCGGTAAAGCCCTGTGTATGTGATCGGATTATCTCTTCAACCGAGTTTGCTAGGAAAGCTCTGACCATGCTCATCTAGTGATCAGATTGCAAGCGGTTCGATCGTCATGGCAGCCAGCAACGGATCAAGAATTTGCTTTCCTTCCGCGATCCCTCATGTGAGACGCGTGATTTCTTCATTCCGAAGTGCATACTTCGTTCAGTTGCCGTTTTCGTTGACGTCTGCGTGATACAGTCATGCATTATGGGCCACTACCTGCTTTGCTGAACCCATCTGCAAGTGAACAGGGTTATACCGTATAGAGTGTTCTGATACAATCTGCTAGCATGTCTCTACTGATATCTTTGTTGAAGATGGAGATTACATACACTCAACGCCTTTGGAGCTCTCAACGCCTGCTCGAAGGCAGTACCAAGGTGATATGGCCGCCAATCATTGAAAATTCAGCTGATTGTTGTCGGTGAGAGCGCGTGATACCCTCAATTGACTGCTCAGCTCTGTCAAGAAACCTACTTATGCTTCCTGATCCTCCTTACCAAGTATCTGATGGAAACACTCCTAACAGGTCAAATAGCACCGTCTGAGTAGCTATTGCTTAAACGTCGCCTCCACTCGCTTGCCCGTCAGCAGCATGGCCAGCGCGAACTATGACGCAATCGCTTTATTTGAGGATAGGTGAGCTCGCTAATGTTCTCCAATGGCTTATCCATCGAACTCAAGGTGTATCTCACATAGCTTCATATCGAATTGTGCCCTTGCAGCTGGAGCAGGTTAGTACTATCTGCGTTTCTGATTATACTACGTCGTAATAACGGTCGTATATAGCGCTCATGTTCTACGAACATGTCATCACGCTCGGTCAAGAGGTCAAATTCATGTGGTCAAACCGAACACCCTCAACAATTCTGTTCTTCATCAATCGACTGGCTGCTCTCGTTTATGGCACATCGTCGGTTGTATCCTTGATCAATGTTCACTCTACGGCCGTAGGTGTTATTCTAAAACTCTACATATCATGGTCTTGTGACAGCACATTTTAATAGAGGTTAGTTGCCCAAGTGTATGATGCTGCGTCGAACGTTATCAATGCCTAAGTTTCAGCTGTGAGATGGTATCAAACATTTTATACGGTAGCGACCTCGCTATTTCGATAGTATCCGGAGGCACGTTTGTGTTCTTTGAACTCCAGAAAGTCGCTGATATCTTGCGCCAGTGGTCACGTTATTGCGAGTTTATGCAATAACCTCTCGCGATTGGCGTCCTACGATACCTTTAGCGCTGCTATTTGTTGCAATGATCGGGTTTAATACTGTGTTCGGTACGTTTCATGCCGAAAATGTTCCTGAACAAATCATCTCCTCATCAGCTCTGTCTTTGCGAAAAGCATTTGTGAACATATCGTACGAGGTCATCGTTCTAGGACCAACCGCGGTATGCAACGGTTTCACACAAGACTCCTTTGCGAACACCTCCTCAAAGTAAACGTTCGATCCATCTAATCCTTCTTTCTCCTTCTCATCCGTAAACGTTCAGGTGTAAGCTGAATACAAGGACTATCTTCCCGAAATGAGCCTATCTTGACGATTGCATAATAGTGTCTATTGCATCCCTCGTAGTTTCTATGGTTGCCAACATCGCGGTGATTGGCATCATTTGGAGAACGCTGGCCAGCAGTCTCAGCTTGACTTCTCCTACAATATTTCCGCGAAAGTCATCGCTTGCAATATTGCTACTACGGGATGGTGAGAACATGAGGCAGTGTCGTGTGTAATGCTGGCTGATCTGTCTTTATCCTTCTTGTAGGCACAATTCAATTCATGTGCGAGACCCGCACTCACGTCTGGAGTAAAACTGAAAGATAGCCACAGAACATTGTTACTCATGAATGTGGTCGGAGAAGTGCTGTCCATTGCTGATCAGGTTAGCATACTAGCTCTCAAATCAAATCCCTGTTGATAATGCTGAACTTCTGGTACGTTATGTTACCGTGCACTTCCACATTCTAGCAAGGTCAATACATCTTCAACAACTTGCAACCACCGTCAGCCTTCACGATTTCTGGTTGAAACCAAAACAATCTCTAATTTATCTCCCAGGCTTGTTGCCATCCTCGTCTCTCGTATGCTGCTGAACATCCATGAGACAGCAATGGCTACACGTGGAGAACAATCCAGCACTCCATCATTCGTGCGCTCGGGTCATGGAGTCCAGACTGAGGCACATCTTCCCGACCTCATAATCCCTTCCGATTCCTTGAACAGCATCATCGCGTCGGGAATGGAGGCAAGACGTTCCATGGCCCGTATGGACCAGTCGAATGCTATCATTGATGAGGGAGTCATCGCCGGTCCTTCTGCTAAGGTTTGTAACCATGAAAACGCAGAAGCTCCGGAAAGCATGACGACTGAACGCTCGGGAGAGACGCACGGGGAGGACCTGGAGCGAGTGGCTATCAACCGTTTCGAAGAAGAGGATGATTGGGAGACAGATTATTACGATGAGGAATGAGGCGACCCTATGCTTCATTGCTACTTCAGCATTTGTGGTCATATCGGTGAGCCCATTGCCAGACACACGACATCCGCATTGGCATTTATACAACCTGTACTGCGATGTCTCTCATGGCCCTCAAGTTACTTACTGGAGCAGAATGCTTTGATACCCGGCCCCGTATTTATTAGTCTCTAGACCATCCCACATATGCATCCCTCATTGACCAGTGTTCCCGGTGTCTTCGTTGTATGCTTGTTCTGCGCTGTAATTATGCCATACCTATATGGCGTGCATGATTCGCATAGCTTTGTATCTCGATATTATATCAGGTCTGTCATCGGCGTGCGAGGATTTGAATGAAGCCTTTCCAGCGTCATATTCTGCTATGCTTGAGTACCTCGTCGTACTGGTCAGTGCACAAAGCCGTTATGCATAGCAATCAGTCGCATGCTCACTGCCTGTTTCGCATCACAGAAAGTCATGAGGACGTTCAAGGAACAACACGTGGATTGAGACATGACGATTGCAGAACTCCGAGCGGTGGGTTGAGTTCTGTCGACGAGGCGACATGACACCGCTGAGGGAGCGCAACATTCTGCGAACTTTAAAAGGATGATACCGGCCGGAACAATCCTGCAGAACAATTTTCGAAATAATTGTGAAATTCACAGTGCCTCGAGCCGCTTGGCCTCAGTCGAGACTGATTCGATCCTAATATCACTGCAATTGCGTTATCGTCGTCTATACAATGCACAGCGCCGAACTCGAATATTGATGTCCATTAATTGGTGCTTGACACCACATTAGAACACAGATTCAAGCCGTGGACCATTGTGCACGGCGTACGGTCATCGTTGGCCCTTCAGCCTGAGTAACACGACATGAAAGCAGGTGCAACAGCTCTGTAACGACGAGATCAAGCGAGACATAGCTGAGTCGAGGATCCGCACCATGTTGTTCAACGAGAGAGTTGCACGGGTCGTAGGAGTCGAGTGTGCAGCAATTGCTCAAAGGGAGCGCCCCAGTTCACTGGTCGTGAGTAGTCTGTGGTCGGAGCGTATGCAATGTCCTCGACCATGGGTCTCCGCTGCACGAGGACAGAAGGGAACGAGCGTCAGTGTCGTTCATTGCAAATCTTTTGAGGCTGCGTAGTGCTCGCTGATTTCAGAGTTTTCAACCATCTTCCTCGCCCATGAGAACCGCGTGAGCTATCTTGATGATCTTCAGTATAATCCTTGCTTCCCGCCGCGGCACCATCTCGACAAGTAGCACAGCAGTTAGATATTCTCGGTGAGTGCGCGATCATCATGATACAATGGAAAACTCACAGTCAGCGGGTTGGATATTGAGCGCAAGCCATCAACACTTTGGGCTTACTAGCACTGCGTAGGGGCCCCGACTCTGCGAACAATGCAGCAATGTCCTGTATCGGCGCGTGCAAACGCAAACGTGGTGCCGCATTCTAACTTGCTCTGAGCTCAGATGAGATCATCACAAAGATGCCGGAAATGAGTCATAAGTTTGCCTTGTCCGCCTTGTTACCTCACACAACCGCCCGACAATCGGAAGATGAGGTTATTGTACGATTTCCTGCATGATTATCACTAACAGATGAAAATGACGGGACAGGCCTGTTTCATTCAGATCAATGTGTGCCAGCAGCGATAGATGCTATCAAACGTCAGATGAGGCGAGCCAGACACCGAGAAGAGCTGTGCGTTTCTCTCAGTCGATGATTGGCGGATGTGAGGACTGCAGAACGTACAGCATGCAAGCTACCTTTAAGACGGTCGGCGGAATGAGCAAACATAGCATTGATAGGCAAGCTCTGACTAGAAAGCCTGTCTGTGTTTCTAGCAATTGAACGGACGGCACGAGGGTGAAGGGAGCTTGTCGACTCGACTACACGTGAGATCTTCTCATTCAGGCGAGAGTGTGTGTTTCGACTCACATGCCCCGTATCATCCGCTGAGCATCCACATCGCACCGATTGCACACAGTCTATCTTCGATTCCTCGTAAAAAGCGCCATATGGTCGCAGTGAGAGCGCGAATCGGCGGCACTTCTGGTGCACGGCATCGATGCAAACTCAAGAGAATTACGCCAGAGCAGGTTGAAAGCGGAGGAGCAAGGAACTGCAAAAATACCGAGTAGACAAGTCATAGGACATGAACGTTGAACATGAGAGCAAATCGAGCAGATGCAGGGAGGTTCAGAGAGATTGGGACGTGTCCAGGTTCACCATCCTGCGTAACACAGAGATCATGTTGTTTGTGGTAGGCTACAGCACACGCACAAGAGAAACGTCAAGATTCCCCATACTCAAGAGTTCAGCGTGACCAGGTTGAGGCCGGCTAGGGCCGGCTACAACGGGCGCCAATGCCACGGTATTATGCGACACAGCGTCATAGCAATATTTTTCCACTGAAGAAATGATGAAAATATAGTAAAAGAATATAAAGCCTTACTTTGAAAAAATGTTAAAAACTATTATGTAAAGTGCTCCATATTTGGGTAGTGTATGCCCAGATATAGCAATTTAATGATGGAGGAAGCTTCTAATTTCTTCACCATTTTTCCAAATCAAAGCTTAATATGTTTTCAGAGTTTCTTTATTGTTTTCCAATGGAAAAATGTTGCTATGCACGCTGTGCGAGGACCGGCGCTACGTTTATCGAAATGGCAAGTGCGATCACCCACGGTGGTTTACCCGTCCACAGCTCGACCAGGTGTCCAACATGCGCGCTCGAATGCATGAGTTCCCAAAAGTTTGATGGTATTTCTCCATGTCTGCTATCGAGGCTTATCATGGCGGGTTTTTTGGACCACTTACTTTTCCAGTGCCTCAAACTACTCGAAAGTTGCCTACCTCATGAGACGGGACTTCGCTTCAACGGGCTCCAGTCGCCTAAATCTTCATTGTATTGCTGTCCAGCTCTCACATGCCGAGAAACGTGTTCATACTTCATAGCGATCCTTCCGGTAGGTGCACGATGATAACGGACCTGACAATGCGTCATCGGGCTCGTAGAAAACGAATCTGGCATAGTCCCAGAGGAGGAAGAGGAGGAGACCTCCAGCTGTTCTGCTCAAGACCGAGGAACCCCATGATCTTCGCCGGGACTTGGTTCTGTGCTTATGTGCTGGTTTTCATTTGCGCCCCGTGATTCTGATTTTTGGAAATATTTGGACTATTGGTCGATTTGTTCCGTATGCGTACTCGTCTATCATCCTGCAGTGGCCTTGCTTGGCAGTGTAGAGTCAGATGTGCAAATGCGCTTGAAAGCTCATCATTTTGCCAAATGGCATGCTTTATTTGGGGTTCATGATGGGATCCGATGCTGCTTTGAGATCTCTCTGTTTTCGTCCGATAGATAATCAGCTAATAGCGGTGCTGATTGTGAAGAGTTGAAGATACATTTATCAACAGCCGAGGTCTTGTGTGGTCATCCGAAAAAGGCAGGTACGTTTGCCTGAGTGTCGCAGTTTTCGAGGCTTCAGTTCCAAGATATTGTCCCAAACGAGCATGCTGACCTCTCACAGTGGATACGTTCCAGAAAAACACCTTGACTCCGAGACGGCACGCGCAATGCTCGGCGTCCAAGCGCTCAGCTCGAATCGCAAGATATCGCGTATCCAATTTCACAGGCGCATACAGGGACCACATTCATCGATCGCTCTTTATGATCCGACGTCCTAGTTTCACGCATATATATCAGTGCTGTCGCTGATATATAAAGATAAGATCGAAATGTATGGATACAAGCACACGTCAAAGTCTGGACTAAATCGTCTGAATGGATGAATGGATGGATGGATGGATGGTATCGGGGCCTCGGACCGCGCATATAGCCGCCCCGGAATGCCTAGCGGACGCAGGCCTTCGCGATCACAATACAGATATATGTAGAATCACCAAAAATGCTAAGAAGAACCTAAAACCGACGATGGACGACAAGAGGAAATATGATATACGAGCAGGCCTTACCTACAGATGTTACGAAGATGCGAGTGCGACGTTCGCTGGGAAGAAAAACCAGTGCGGAGAGGCAAGGGATCTGCGAGCCAGGATGGAGCTTCACGATGGTTGATTGAGGGAAGGCGTTCGCGCCAGATGGGACGATTGCTGGTCTGTAACAAGATACAGGTGAAGCAAGACCGAAATGTATGCGCCGTGCAGAGCAAGCACAGCTACGAGTGGTTATAAAGCGGCAACGGGCCGTCCGCCCCCCGGGGCGTCAACGTCGGCGCTCCGCACATTCATCTCCTCGCTGTCGATCGTACTTCCTTCAGTATCTTCTTCGGCCTCTTTATGCGCCTCTTCGTCCTCCAAGAACTTCACCAACAGCGTCAAGTCCACTTCTGCCCAGCCGTCAAACTCTCCCTTGCGCATCTCGTCTAGCCGCTTTTCATGAAACGCCATGTGATACGGAAGGACTACAGACCAGTGATACTCCTCACTGAACGACACGAGACGAGCAAGGTACTCCTTGGTGGCAGATGCGAGGGTGTGTGTAGCGTCGACAGAGCCGGAAGAGGCGGTAAAGGCAAGGAGAATGCGGAAGTACGTTGAGAGTGGGGCGAAGAGCGAGGACAAGGAGGGGTAGAAGCGCATGATGAACTCGCGTGGGCCGAGTGCGTGCTGTGCGAATGCGGAGGGAAACGAGGAGAATGGGAGGGGGGACGCCGGGAGCGGCGTAAGGGAGGCGTGCTCCAACACGTGTGCGCGGTAGTTCGCGTCGAGCTTGTAGAGATCGTACGGATCGAACGCGTGCCGTGCAATATCGAGCAGCACGCCCGGCTCGACCGTGGGAAACAGCTCAGGCAAAGATTTTCCCGCAACGGACGGGCTCGTCTTCGCGTTCGGGTATGCGCTGAATGCCGGGAACTGGTGCTCGGTCTTTGGCGAGACAGGCAGCGGGCTCGAGCGCGCACGGACGAGTGGAGGAGCAGGCGAACGGGTGGCGGCTGGGGAGCGGGTGAGAGATGCGGCGGAGGGGAAGTGGATGAGCGAGAGGAGGTGAGTGAACTGGTCTGCGGTGAGCGTGACCGTCCCTCTCAAGGCGGGCTTGCCGGCTGGGGCGGTGTCGGTATCGGTGTGCGCGCGGCCGCCATGCGCAGAGTGCCTGCGGTCTGCGCGGCCAAGCATCGGGAAGGCGCCGGCAGCAGGAGCGGCGGTGGCGCGGGATGCGGAGGCAAAAATCATGGTGGCGGCGGCGGCCACCATGAAGTGTGGGGGTGGGGTATGCGAGCACAGGCTCAGTTGTGCGCGGATGTCTTGAAGTCAGTTTTACACGCGGCTTCCATAACGGGGAAGCGAATTACCTCTCGCGGCAGTAGCTTTCGGGGTATTCAGATTAGTCTGTCAACGAAAAATAACGAGTATAGGCAAGGGGACGTATAGGCCATCTACGATGAGAGAAGGAGGGAGAGAGGGGACACCGCGGTGGCGTGTATATAGGTCCGGCGTGGCGAGGCACAGCGCGCGTGTCCGCTCCACTGCAGTCCACTGCGCCATCGATGCCCGATCTCACCCCGCGGCGCCCAGGAATGCGTCCCCCAATCGCATCCCGGCGCTCTCCGCGATCGGCACTCGGGCGGTCGAGATGCGGCCGGGTCCTTGACGTATTGCAATACTGGCGAATCAAAGTCGGGAACCAGCCGTGCTCTCCATCGCTTTCCGCCATGTCTGGATTATGAAAAAATCCATCTATACTTGGAACGATGTCAACAAGCTGTGCTTCAGCTGTGCTCCTCGCATCGAGCTATCTCGGAGACCAAAGCGCAACGATCTCGGCCGTGAGCAGTTCAGGAAAAAAAATGGCTCTTGCAACGAGATGAATCGCCAGATTTGCTGGCTAGGCGGCCCCACTCCAGTGTGGGGCAGAAGCTCGCAGAATATTCGAAAAAACAGCTCAAGAAGCTCTAGTCGGGCGTCAGTCGCAATCATACCGTCAACGTAGTCGGAGCACTCTTGGAGGCCTAGGCTCGCCGACGCGTTGTGCTCGACCGTCGCAAATCTCCACCAGACTGGAAACGTCGACGTTACCCAATGATTTCCACGCAGCGCAATGCAGAGCCTGGCCCTGCCGATTCTTCGCATCCTCAAACTGATCGTGTACACCGCTCAGACGCTCCAGCGAATTTCGTCATCCAAAGAGACTGCTCCAGCTTTTATGGATGTCCCTGTGACTTATATACACGGAGCTTCGGCAGCTCAGCTGCTATGTAGACGTTCGACATGCGTCTCGCCATATAACAGGCAGGGGACGACGCTGGACTTCGAAGCCATCGATCCGTCCTGTCGGCCTTCTTAATAATCGGCCTTCTTAATAATAAATCTACTCCACCCTTTGCTTCAATCGCCCCTCCTACATATATGTGCTGCGCCACTCGGTTCGTCTGGGCTCTCCTGGCCTCTTTTCATCCGTAGATCGTGTCGAGCTCCGCTCAGACAGCGCTCAAGCGCCCACGGTTAGGTCCGGTTTCTGGCCGTAGTCTCCGACGTGCGGCCTAGGCGCATACCGTCACCCACCTCATTAAGATACTCTGCGCTTCCATGCTCCAAACGCGCCTCTGCATGGTCAACTGTGTGAGTGCGACGAACGGAATGGGGACTGTCTGAAGTTCAAGCAAAAGTCTGGGTCAAGCGGATCTTGCATTCACATCAGCTCGTACTGTCGTGGTCAGGCCATCTAGCGTACCGTTGTGGCTGGGGAGAACTAGGCCTCGTCCACGATGACGCTGCACCGTCCTTTCCATGTGTGCTTGTTCACCGACGCGTACCCCGACTCAACTCGCTCGACGGTTACTTTGATGCTTTATGAGGCCACATCTTTCCCACCGCGCGAGGCGGTCACCCCCCAACAACCTGAACCATCAGCGGAAGCCGTCTCGCAGACATCCTCATTTTTTCGTCAGTGGTTGTACCTCGGAAGTGTGTTTCCTACACTGTTGTGACTCTTAAATTGAGCAGATGTCCTCGAGTGCTGAGCCTATACGTGGTCGAGACGAGACGTGCGCGTGAGCTTGCTGGCAGAACGAGCTCTGCAAGGTGCTAAGACCTGAGATGATCACGTGATGAAGCTCGGAGGCAATCTCACAACTCCAGTGCGATCTCTCTGGTACCAGCGCTGAGTTACATGCGCCAATGTTTCGTTTTCCCTTCGAGATACGTGTCTATGCCCACAAGGGATCGGTACACGCGCTATTCCAGTTCCAAGATCTAGAATACTAGGCTCCATTCGTGCGGTAAACCCACGGTGTCGCTCTTTCCCGAATAATGTTTTCTGCATGAATGAATCAAGGCACATTAGGATATTCAGCGCGCAGCGTGCAGCGCTCAGCACTGGCGTGCTACATCATAACGCGCCTCTTGAGAGGAATGAGAAGTCTACGTCTCGGAGAAAATCGGGCACACACAGTTCTGACGCTAGCTAGTACAGGGCTCGGAAATACGAACAGAATAATAGCGTAGAGGTTGGATCGCGTGAAACGGACTGCGATGTGCAGGAGCTGGCCCGCACGAGCATATAGTCGAGAATCTGCCAGCATAATTCACTGAGTTCTGACTTCGTGATGCGTACGTCCGTCGTTCTTACTTCATGCATTTTCTTCGAGGTTTGGCCTCTTGAGTCAATAGAATGCCCTGATCAGCTCCAAGGCATCCTGTCTATGCAGTCTTTCTCACCGATATCAATCAAAGCGCAGGGTGTTTTCGCGGAAATGCGTATTAAATCCAAGACCACACTGCGACTGTAGTCTCTCTGGCCTCCGCGCCGACCTATTCATGCCAACCTCCAATGCTATAGCTATGCATCACAGCAGTGGACAGGCAGCACGTAGCATACAGTAGCTGACAGGCTGTTACGCAATGAGTAGAGCGGTCCGTTCGGCGTGCATCCTCGATAACCCGATGGCTCATCCAGAATAGGGGGGGCACGGTATATTCCATAGCATACGTGTGAAAACTCAATCGCAGATACAATTAGTTAGTACGGATGTTCATGCGAGAAACATGTCAAACAAGATCTATAGCACGACGCATATCCGCTGAGGTTGTGCGGAGAGAATCTGCGAATGAAGCCGGATGAGATGGGGCGTATGAAGACTAACGTGCCACTTACAAATAGCAAGTAAATGGACGATCACAGTGAATCTGACAGCTCGATTTCAAGGCCCATTCTCTCCCCTCACTCGTCATTCTCCCAATCCGACATCATCTCTTCCTCGACTTCGTCCATCCCCTCTTCCTCGTTCACGTCCTGATGAGCATCGCCCGCGATAGCAGCATTGTCTGCCATGTTGCGCGGTTCGGCAATGATTTCATCATGTTCCGCAGAGTCTTGTGGGTGAGTGCGATCAGTCTCCCGGGCTTGTTCGGTGCTGCCGAGGATGTTCAATTCGAACGACATGTTCTCGACGTCTGCTTGTGACTGGAGCCCTCGGTCTGACTGGACGAAGGAGGGCGTTTGGGACTGTTCTCCTCGTGTGGACCGCGCTGCGGCTCGGATGTTGAGGAGAGCACGAGAGATCAGAACGGGAGTGAGTCTGTAGAATCTTCAGTGTGTCATTGGCAGAGAAAATGTAAGAAGATTGCCCCACGAAAATTCCAAATAAGCGACGACATTTTCGACATTCTAGCATGTCCATAATCATGTACGACAGATTAGTTAGGATCCAGCGGATAATATAGGGTGCATGCACTTACGATGTCCAGGAAGTCTAACACAGTCGCAAGTAAGCTCATTAGTAATAGAGCTCTAAATAATGTGCTTCAGACGTTGCCAACTCATGTCAACACTACGTCTCACGTTAATTGAATCGTGCCTGTGAAAATAGTGGGCACAAATGTCATTCGAGCTCAGAGACCCACAGTCATTGTCAGATATCCGTACCATCTCTGAGTAGCAGTGCCGCAAGCGATGGATTCCTCGTAGACAGGATGTCAACCACGGCTGGTCTATGGCGATCATATAGCTTGTACCAGAGAATTGCGAGCGCCATGATGGCGAAAAGTGAACCACAGGCCGCATTGACTTTGTCCACTGCGGTGCAATTGTCAATGAAATATGGAGGCAAGAAATCCCGAGTTCTGACTAACATCTATTGAGAATCAGATAAGCAAGTTCAGATTCACTGAAATAAGTGGCTTTTATACTTTGCAATGACATCTTCCACTGAACTAGGACTGCTGGACTCGGTGCATATTTCTGCGCCATCCAGTACAAACACAGAATACGACACTCGGGTGAAGCCTTTTCATGAATTCATGATAAGTCAATCAAAACATGTCCCAATCAGGAGGAAACGTACAGACGTAGACGTTTGTGATCACATTGAAGACCGCAAGCAGTGCAAGGAGGATAACAAGCCTTCGATCACCACCTGTCACGGCATATATTCGCAATATTGTAGCCGCTTCGCTATGTTTGAGCTGTGAGAATGTTTCATGAAGCACACTAGCTTACTTTCTGAGATTGCTCCGGTGAGTATTCTAAGCAGTCCGCTCATCACGAGGCTTGCCATACAACTACAACGTAAGAATAGTTAGACGCGAATTTATGTGACAACAGGAAACAACTCGCCCCTGCAATGTTTGTAAGTCGAAGGTGTATCCATGCGAGACAATATGGTTCCACGTACGGTTACTGTGCTAAAGTTCACGAGGGACAAAACGGAAATGATCGCATAGCTCAGTGAAAGCGCCTGATTAGCAAAAAACAACCATGTGGAGAACGACCTCTCGGCCCAGAACAATTGGACCTGCTGGCCAAATGTTATGGCATGGTCGAACAATATGAGCGCTGTTTGAATGGAAACGTCAACAATCAGTCAGTGTTAACCGATAAGTGTCCGATTAACCTGCGCCGGCTACAAAAGCATAGCTTGCTGTAAAGCTGATAATGCATCATTTAATGCAACGCATCTCAACTATCTAAAGACGCACGAATTGTCCAAAAAGGTGATTGCTTCGGAGGCGGCGACAGACATGCCTAGTAGAGAGAACGGACGTCGACTTAGAGTAGTCGGAAGTCAGCCTGCTTATAACGCCGTATGGCATCAGATAGTAACGTTACATCACCCGCCTATTAACATATACTGTGAGCCAACTCACCTACGATGAGGTCTGCAAAATAAAAAGTGGCTCAGAACCAATGACTTCATCATTCGCGTATGCATAGAATCGCAACTGAGAGAGATATGCACATCGGGATGGAAAGGTCGCTCGGCTCATATGAGATGAGAATCATGAGATTATGAGAAGAAGCTGTGTTCAACTTGATCCGTTGCTGTATGCTGTGACAACTGCAACCTCATAACTGAACTGCATGACGGGAAGGAATAGCCGGAGGGATCTCCTGGTAACTATCAGCTGAGGAAACGATAAACGTCGCACGCGTACAGGGGACCCGCAAAAGCGAGGGTAGAATATGCCCCGTGACAGTCAAGTCCTGCTCAAAATGTAGTGGTGAATGCTCGCAGGAGAAACGTCGGAGAGGCCGGCAACTGCGGAATAATTGATTGACGGTTTGACAACACCGGCGGTTCAGTTCAGTTCTAAGTGAACCGTGAACAAACAAAGACGACGTGCATGACAGATGGAGTTCACCTTTGCGAGAGTGACTAACATGACGAGAAGACGGCATGCCTTGACTATCGTATCTTCACTACAGGACTCCAGGAGAGGCTTGGCCGAAATCATGATTTGAGTATTGGTAGGACCTCCTCAGGCAACGCCTTGTGGAGACGCGCCCGTGGCGTGGTAATCGTGCCCGATCATTCTGCCACGCACGCCCGACCAATCACGCACAGGCGCGTGAATTTAGTCCAGGCTTAGTGCCGCACTGCAACGACAGGTGAGAGAACTCGACACTTTCGAACTCCACGCAGAGCGACCACTGCAAAAGCTAGGACTCTCCACATACTATCAAGGACCATTCCCGAATCGCCGAGTTCGCATATTTCAAGGCGGGCTGCCTACCTTGCAATATGCGAGCTCGGGGATTCCCGTAGGCACGATGAGAATCTTCCTAGCACGTTGACTCGTGCGGGTGCAAACATCGGTATGTCTCCTCGGCGAAGTGTTGCTCCGCGTTGAGCAGCGGAAGGCTCGGCGAGTTCAGCAGGTGTTCGACTTTCATAATCTCAGATGAGTCAGTAGAATCTGTATTGTCGTTTCATCTCACCTCACTCTATGCCTTACATGCCATCCATTGGTCAAAATGTACGGTGCTGTTGCCTTGTACCTTGATACATCTGTCAACGCCCTATCGCTTAAATCCGTTTCTATCCGATCTGTGTCTCTCGACGGGCGTTTCGGTGCCGGTCGGGACATGATTCCGTGCAATACCCCCATTTGCGCTCCATATGCATGCAGCTCCAATTTTGAAGGGCCTGGCCTTCAGCTTCTGCTGGCTGTCAAATTGTGGAAAGGCTGTTGTTCTTACGAGCGCTGGGACAGCTGAACCCTATAACCGGGTATCTGTGCTTTCTCATTGGGCGCTGGTTTTCCTTTGTTGCACAACGACAAGCTGGCACGTCGAATCCATGCCTGGGTTGAGAAGGTGCCTATTGCGGCTGATATGAAAAGTGATGATACGTATGAAAATCGACCTATCAACAAGGCCTGAAAATATGATGTGAGGACTCTTTCTTGGACAAACTATCCATTTCGATGTTGATCTATCACTGAATTTCGTTTGTTCGCCTGCCAGTCCGGTCTCCTCGAGCAGTCACATTTTGCTCATAATTTTCGTCGTACCATGCATGTTCACCGATGCAAAGCGCTCAATTCTAGCTATTTGCGATCAGAACAGGATTTTTCCCTATCGCCAATCACCTCGTGCAGTCCATGGACAGCCTCGACATCATGTTCCGCCGAGGTGTCTGCGTGGCAGCTCATCAGCTTTCTCATGAGACGGAGCTGTGCTCGTATTCTACTCGCAATGTGTCGCTTAGGTAACACGCCATATCGCGCCTCAATTCGATAGTACGAACCCATCTCGATGGCGAAGTCGAAAGCTGGGTTCAAAACTCGACCATCAATATTCAATGCTCATACGATGCGGCCGGAAGACGTCGTTGAAGAAACGGTTTCTGAGCACACCAGCACATCACTATCTAGTCAGATTGCTTGCACTGTCATTCGTAATAGATCTCACCTCGCTTGATTGTACTCTCGATCCCTTTGTGGCATTGGTTCCTCCGCATTTCAGCAGTCGCTTTCAATGTCTCCATGGAGATCAGTGCCACAGACGAACTGTGTAGGGAGCTTACTTCGATGAGCCCTCACATCAACCCCATCATATCTTGGACGTCCAGTCACACAGCCGCATCAGAATGCTCTGCGCTGGGTGAACTCGCAGTAATTTCACTTTGTCATGCGTATGTCCGTCATCTTTATGTCGTCCATTTTCTTCGAGGTTTCGCCTATTGAGTCGATCGAAGGCCCTGATCAGCTTTCGGGCATCCTGTTTATGCAGCCTTTCTCACCCAACTTAATGGGACCGTACGGTGGTTTCGCGGAAATGCATGATATAACTGAACGAATCCAAGACCACACTGCGAATGTGGTCTTTCTGGCCTCCACGCCAACCTATGATGGCGACCTTCAATGCTATAGCTATGCGTCGCAGCAGTTGACAAGCGACACGTAGCTTACAGCAGCTGTTACCCAACAGTGGAGCGGCCCGTACAGCGTGCATATCCAACAACTCGATGGCTCATCCAGAATAGACAGCGCACAGAGTGTCCCCAGCATTCGTGTGGAAACTCAATTATAGATGCAATTGCGTAGTACGGATGTTCATGCGAGAAACATATCAACAAGATCTGTAGCACGACGCGCATCTGCTGAAGTTGTGCGGGGAAAATCTGCGAATACAGCCGGATGAGATCGAGCGTATGAAGAATGATGTGCGACTTACAAATAGCAAGTGAAAATGTAATCACCGTCGATGCCACAGCTCGGCTTGAAGGCCCGTTCTCTCCCCTCACACATCGTTCTCCTCATCCGATAGCATCTCTTCCTCGACTTCGCCCATCCTCTCTTCCTCGTTGATGTCCTGATGAGCATCGCCAACGATAGCAACATTGTCTGCCATGTTGCGCGGTTCGGCAATGATTTGATCATGTTCAATGGAGCCTGACGCATGAGCGAGATCGGTCTGCTGAGCTTGTTCGGTGCTGCTGAGGATGTTCAATTCGAATGACATGTTCTCGACGTCCGCTTGTGTCTGGGGCCCATTCTGCGACCGGACGAAGGAGGGCGTTTGAGACTGCTCTCCGCGTGTGGATCGCGCGGCGGCTCAGATGTTGAGGAGGATACGAGAGATCAGAATGGGAACTAGTCTGTAAAATTGTCAGTGTGCCATTGGTAGATAAAATGCAAGAGGATTGTTTCACGAGTATTCCCAATCAGCGACGATATTTGCAACAGTCTACCGTGTTCAGAATCATGTATGGCAGAGCAATCAGGATCTAGTGGAAGATATAGGATGGATTGAAAGGGCATACACTTACGAGGTTCAGGAAGTTCAATACAATTGTAAGTAAGTTCAGTAGCATTAGAGCTCTGAACAATATGCTTCAGACGATGACAAATTGCATTCGATTCCATTCTCACGTCAACTGAATTGTGCCTATGAAAATCATGGCCGAAAGTGTCATTCGATCAGAGACCCATAGTTATTGTCCGATAGCCGTACCATCTCTAAGAAGTAGTGCCGCAAGTGATGGTTTCTTCGTAGACAGAATGCCAACATTGGCGGGTCTATGGTGGACGTATAGCTTGCACTAGAGAATTGCAAGCGTCATGATGTCGAAAATTGTAGCACAGACCGTAGTGAGTACTTCCACTGTGGTGCAATAATCAAAGGAGTATGGAGGAAAGCATGCCTTGGTTCGGACTCACATCTATTGAGAAACACATAAGGAAGTATAGATTTACTGAAGATACCGGCTTACATACATTGTACCGATATCTTGCGCTGAACTGCTGGACGGGATGCATATGGGTGTGCTATTCAAAATGACCAGGGAATATGATATTGCAATGCAGCCTTCGCATAAATTTAACATAAGCCAATCGAGAATATGTCCCAATCAGAAGGAAGCATACCAGTGTAGATGTTTGCAATCACGTTGAAGACCAGAAGCAGTGTGAGGAGCATAACAGGCCGTCGATCGCCACCTGTCACGGCATAGATTCGCAGAATTGAAACCACTTGGCTATATTTGAGCTATGATAATGCGTCATGAGGCATGCCAACCTACCCCCTAAGATCATGTCGGCAAGTATGGTAAGCAGAGCGCTCGTCACGAAGTATGCCATACAACTACGAGATAGTAACAGTCAGATGCGAATGAATGTGGCAACAGGAGCCCATTTACCTCTACAATATCAGTCGGTCGAAGGTATATCCAAATGAGACAACATTGATTCACGTACCATTACTGTGTCAAAGTTCATGAGGGACCAAACAGAAACGGCCGCATAGCCCAAAGCGAGCATCCGATTGGCAAAGAACAACCATGCAGAAAACGAGCGCTCTCCCCAGAACAGCTGGACCTCCTGGCCGGAAGTTATGACATGGTTGAAGAATATGAGCGCTGTATGAAGCAAAATCGTAAAATGAGCAACGAGTAATGAGCAAGAAATGCCCGACTGGCCTGCGCCGGCAATAACAGTGTAGCCTTGTATAAAGCTGACGATACATTATTCAATGCAGTACAGTTTGGACTATCTGAAGAGACACACCCTTCTTTCAATAGAGTGGTTGCTTCAGATGCTGTTGTAGACATGTCTAGGTGAAGCCTGAAGGGATTGGATATGGATTGTGAAGCGGCTGGGAGTCGGCCTATTTATAAGTCCATGTTCCATTATAATACAATGTCACATCACCCAATATACGGTGCAACCCTGCTCATCTGCAGATGAGTTCGGCAAAGCAGATAGTGACTCACAATGCATGACTCTATCATGCGCACATAACCAAAAAAACCCAAATTTTTGATCCGTTGCTGGCTACCATGACGACCGAACCCCCTGCAACTCGATCACTAGATGAGCGTGGTCACAGCTTTCCTAGCACACCGCGTCGACGTGATACTCAGATTACACGTACAGGGCTTGCCCGAGAGCAAACTGCGCATATACCCCCCAAGAACAGGTTTCAATCGCCAATTCAACGTTCCGGGATTCTTGGCTGTCGTAGCTTTCATAGCCTAAAGCTCAAAGCAAAGGAGAGTGTGTCTCATCAATCACGTCACCGGTAGCAGCGACGGAGCTAGTCAAAGACACGCTGTGTAATCGGCGACACCTCAGTGAGTAACCAAGATCTCGCACTGAGCAGCGGAATGAACACATTTTGAGGTAAGACATAACATGGGACTCACCTCGCACGCGAAGGTGAAACATTACACACTGAGACAACACTCATTTAAGAACATCTCTCTGTACTTTCTTCCCGCGATGATGATTTGATATGTCTTAGTTGTTCCAATCGTCACGGTGCGCGAAGCAGGCCCAGAAATCATAGAATGATTGATCCTGGGACTAAGTATTGGCAATTAAGCGACTGAGCGTTCCATGAGCGACCAACAGAAAGTTTCTTGGAAAGATTGATGGAAAGCGACCATGACAGTGCTACGACTCGGAGGAAAGAGGACTAAATGAGAGTGTGCGTGCGATGTGAGAACAGCCGGCGAGGTGGACCACTAGTGTGCACATACTTGACGGCACAATGAAAAGTCTTCTGCATCTCTGTAAGTTCTCGTTGCTGGGGGTATATGTATCAAAATTGATGCATCTATAGTGATCAAAGATCATTGCAGGCGACCGGGATTCCAAATAACAGAAGGTTATTTGGTTATTGACGCGGCTGCTTGACAGGCTTACATAAGCCTTAAGCTGGCAAATTCGCTGCTTACGGTTTAGCGTACTCGAGCACGCCACATCCGCCAACGTCTGACAGAATGCTTATAAGGGGTGATATGCGGCACCCCTGTTTACAACTTGGGTGGAGTTGGCGCGGCCGTGCCGGTTCCAAATAACAGGTCGGAAGACTGATATATGTACATAATAAGTATAGAAAGAAAACGGTGTGGTGATCTGTTGTATAGTAGAGGAAAAAGCGACGGGACCTGTAGCAACGGAGGTTACGATGGCATACAAAGATTTTCGCGGAGCGGTATAAATTACGCTGGGCAGATTTGTTGGGATATTGGGGCTGGCTATGCTTTGGTGTGTGCTTGTCAGTTGTTCTTTTCTTTTGTGTCCTTCTTGGGGGTTCGGGGTCGTTTGAGTTTTCGCGCGCTTCGCTCGTTTTGCGTGCTTGCGTCCTTGTGTTGTGCGGTATTTGTTTCCTTGTGTGTACTCTTGCTGTCCCTGGTGGCGTTTGTTTCTTTCGTGTTGTGCCGTTGTTGGGTCTCGGTGGTTGTTGATTCTGTGTTTCTCTCCTGCCGGGTTTGTCTCCCTTTGTGTTTCGCGTGTGTGCTCTCGTTGGCTCTTTTTTGGTCGGTTTAGTGGTTCTGTGCGGCGTCGGCGATTCCTGGGTGTGGGTCGTTAGCATCTCCACGATCAGTTGTTAACACACACGTTCTCTGTACTTGAATGATTGGCTGGCCAGGTATCGATCCTGACTGTACTTCCAGGGCAAAAATGGCAGGGGCCCGATGAATCACGATCCGACTCTCAGTGTACCCATGACAAGCTTGACAACGGGAAGCACGTCGTGCACGGAAGAGAGTGTGCATGCATTGGGATGTGGTCTGTGTGGATGGTCGCGGTTCGACGTCGTCCCAGTGAAAAGGATAGATGCTGAATGAGACGTTCGCAATCGGCTGGAGCATATGATTTAATAGGGTGGCTTCCGGGCATGTAAGGCATGTAGACACTAATGAGCAGGTAGTTGGATCGACGGTGAAGAGACGTTCCACGAGGTCAGATGCTGCGCACCCGACAGGGCCAGAGCGAGGGAAGGACTGCAGCTCGAGAGATGAGAGACGGTCGCGGAGAGCATTTCGTGCTAGTTCCAAGAAGTGACGATCAGCTGTGCACGATTGAAAGCTGACCTCAACGTGCTGCAGCAGGGCACTGGCTGACGCAATGCGGGAAAAAAACTGTCCGCCTCTGTCGGCATAGATGTTCCACAGGACAGTTAACACCGAATCGTAAGCGCAGCTCCAATTCTGCCGGTCCCAGATCAGACCGGATGGAGGAGTTGCAGAGGGAACGCGATTCGAAGGCGTAGCATGTTCAGACCCGAGCAGTACGACGGAAGATCCGTGTTTGGCAGAAGACGAAGTGGTAGGAACAGAGATGGACGTGATCGTTTTAGCGCGCTTCGTGGGGAGCGATGAGGGAGGAAGCCAGTTATCTTTGGTACGTCGTTTCGAACGTTCGGGCCGGTTACTGTTCGCTGCGAGATCTCTTTTAACCTTTTTGCCCAGTAATTGCCAGTGCGGAGGTTCAGGGGGAGGCAGGAGAGACGAGATGGGCTCTTGTGACCAGTCAAGGAGCTGTTCCACATTATGAGGAATGTATTGACATCCGTTTGTGGCCTGAAAAGTCTTGACTAATGACGCCCGCGTGCAACCGCTGATAGAAGGGGGAAGCGCATCTTCCAGATGCAACCGAGTGATTTCATCCAGAATCTCGAGCTCTCGGAACTCTCGTCTAAGAGCACCATTCAAACCGCCAGTGATCTTGGAGTCATCGATGCCATCGAGAATCAGCGTACCTTTTAGAGATGCACTGCGTGCCAGGCAAGTGTACAGTGACTGGTGCCCCTTGCAAAAGCGAAGATGGCACGGATTGTGTGGACGTGTCCGCCCCTGGCATCCAAAATCGGTCATCGCGAAATTGGGGAGCACGTTTGCCTGCGAGCGATCAATGTAGACCACACAATCGTTGGGAAGCGTACATTTGATATGTGTCTTTGCATGGACCAGGGGAATTACATTCGGTGGGAGATCGGGAAGCTGAACTACCTGAGGAGGATTCTTGAGACGGACGAATAATGTGTCCAGTATGTCATGTCCATCTGCATCCTGGTGTGAATCCCAGCTGAGCACATAAGCCTCCGCACCATTGGTTGCACATAATTCGGTTGCCTCGTTGTTTTTCAGCATAACCGGCATGTCTCTGCACAGTGTCAGAATACCTGCACGGTGAGCAGTAAGGGAAGGGGGCAGTGCCCAGAGCATTTCCTGGATTCCTGGTAAGACATCACCAGAGGATCGATTAGGATCGACAGCTCGTTGTTGCAATCGCTGAGTCTGTCGTAGTGAGTCACTCGAACGGACATTGGACCAGGAATCAATGGAATGAAATCGCACCAGCTGTTGTCCATTCTCTGTAGCAAAGCGACGTGAGCTCACTTCATTGATAGCGTCTCGGTGACTGTTCAGGGCAGTGATAATAGATATGTTCCGAAAATTGGGATCGGACATTAAGTGATGTAAGCCGGCGGAAGTGACAACACGCGTTCGCAATAACGCGATGTCTTCAGGCGTACAGGCCTTCAGCCTCATGTTCTGCAGCGCTTGGCGAAAAGCACAGTCTTCAGGCGTCAATCCCTGTTGACGCATGTTACGTCTCAAAATAACAACTGTCGTTACTTGATGTCATAGTGCTTTACCTAACACAGCCTGCTGGGCATGTAATGAATGGGCAGATGACCATGCACCAATGCTGTTTGAATACAATGACGAGGCACCGCTTCCGGCAGGGGGTAATTGCGCAAAATCACCTGCGAGAATGACCCCCAAGCCACCAAACGGTTTGTCGGTCACGCCGAGCGCCTTAGAGATTTGAGCACTGATACGATACATATCCGTACATGAAACCATAGAGATTTTGTCAATGAACACCACATCTACGTTATCTAGACGCTCACGGACCTTGGACAACACAGCGGCGCTTGAACATCCAGCATGGTCTGAGTTATGGTTGAAACCGAGGACAGAATGATAAGTAGAGCCAGAGATTACACATGCAGCAGAGCCTGTGGGAGCAAGAAGCATAAGACGAAATGATATCCCACGTTTAGTCAGGAAGGAGGACACAGCTCGTATGACTTGAGATTTTCCCGTCCCACCAGGTCCTCCGAGATACATTTGCAATGGATGTGTCTCTCTGTGAAGGAGCCAGCGAGAAATAATGTGAAATGCACGTTCCTGTTCGACATTCAGACTAAATGACTGTAATATGTGAATTACAAGAGCGATCGTACTGTCCTCAATTGACAGCGGGATTGTTGCATGGCCCGGAGGTGGACGTGGTGATGAACTGTTTGTCAAGACGATGACGGAATCAGGAACGAAGCAGTTTAGCATTTGCCCATTAACGGTGACATGGTGGGAAGAGGACTTATCCACAGGTGTCACCCGAGATGCCGCAACAGATCTATTGCGAATGACCTGTTCTCTCGCCATCGACAACGATGCTTTCCAGTCAGACATGGATCTACAGGGAATGATGTCATGGGTCCCAGTATTGTCAACGTGCTTAGGAGTGATGGCGAAGTCCATGTTTAATGCGTGAAGCAATGTATGCATGCTGGTCATTTGAGACTTGATCCTTGCAGTTAATCGACCTTCGCATGCCAGCGAGTCATGCAAGGAGTTGAGCAGCTGCTCCTCAGTAATGTTAGAGAGAACATTGTTCTCGAAGTGCTCCGCATCCAAGTGGGAAA